CCCAGCTCCTCGCCTACTACTTCACGGAGCTGAAGGAGGATCAGGTCAAAAAGGTAAATTAAAATCCTCCCCGCTTCCCACACCCCGGCACAGGGTTGTGCTATTTTTATTTTGATTTTTTGATTTTTTTTTTCCCCCCCACCCCATTGGTTTGGTTGCTTTGTCCCCATAGCGACCCTGCTATGGGAGGAAAAAATAGGAGGCGGGGGGGTGCGGTGCGAATAAACCCATTTTTAAGGCTGGAGTCTGCTGGGTGTGGGTGATGCCCGCCAGGCAGTCCATGGAAACAGAGCTCGGCAGGAGTTGGGGGGCTTTGGTGATGAGGAGGAATATGATGATGGCCTTTCAGGCTTTCTTGGAGAGGGGACTTGGACTTTTTCCCCAGGATACCCACGGACACCTGTCACTCCTGGGTAGTTTTTGGCTTCTGTGTCGCTACAGGTTCTGAATTCACAGAGAAGTAGTTGTCAGTTGTGCTTAAAGAGAAGAAATATTTCCGTGGGCTCCTGTTCCTTTGGCGTTAGGCGACTGCTGCTGTAGGGTTGGTCTAATCCTGGTGTTTAGCACTGCCACAAGGAGCACAGGATAAATAAAAACATGGCAGTTAAGTCCTGCCGAGCATATTGCAGAGCTGTAGGGAGCGGAGAGCCTGGGGCTCGGGATGCGGGGACACACATTGGGGAAATAATTGCAAATGTCACTGGGCCCATCACAGAGCTGGGCTGACGTCAGGAAGCAGAGGTTTCCCCTCTGCCACCTCCACCTCGTCCTCGTCACACGGCTGAACGCCTGCTGAAGGCATCCCTAAAATATTTTGGGGAAGCCTCAGCAGCAGCGTTAGAAGGGCTGATTTGTGGTGTCTCCAGGCTTGTCTCAGCAGGAGGAGCGCACCTCCTCCCTTCGGGTTTCTCACTGTGCCTGGGGAGAAAGACCTCAGCCCTCACGTATGGATGACCCATGCCGCCCTGCTCAAGATGTGCTCACCCGGGGCCCACTTCTCCGTTGGATAAAACCCGAGACAGCACCTCAGATTTTCCACGCCTCCTTCTGTGGTTTAGGTCTCTTGCTTTTCCATCTAGCAGTTCTCGCGAGGAGCTGGAGGCTTCACGCAGCCTTGCGGCTTTCTGCACCTTCTGGCCTCCCTACGTATGTGGCTCTCCCTCCCTTTCCCCCAGCCCCCTCATTTTCCTTTCCGCAGAGGATTTATAATGCTGCTGCTGGCGCCGGCCGGGCATGCCTGGGAAAGGCCTTCTCTGTCTCGCTGTGCCTGTTATATTTAGAAACCCAAGATAAGCATAAGGGTTCGCGCTGGCCGAGGAGCAGCAGAAAGGCTGTGTGGGGAAAGCACGGTGGGGGAAAAAACCTCTAGCGTTCCTGGGGGTTATTTATTGCAGGCTGGGTTGGTACCATGAGGCGGCTATTGTTTGGCGGCACGGGAGCTGTAAAGCATTCTTATGGGTCAGTCTGGTTTTGTCTGAAAAAGAAAAAAAGAAATGTAATTTAAAAAAAAAAGAAAGGCATAGGCTGTTGGTTTTGGAGGATGTAAGGCATCTTTTCCTGTTTATATCCTTTTGGAAGGGGCATTGAGCCACCTTGCTTTTGGCTGTCCCGTAGAGAAGGTTTCTGCAGAGGTTGTGCCCCGGAGCCCTGATTCCCTGCGGAGCAAAAGGCCTTTTTTGCTCCATCTCAGCCCACTGCTTGCGAGGTTTGCACTCCACATCAGCTTGCTGGAATACGTGCCTGCATGGCTTCGGTTGAGGTCCCTCCCTCTCCTCTCTGCTTCCGGAAGAGCAGCGCTTTCTGTTGGTACGTGCTTGTGGCTGGGGGCTGCCGACTGAGGCGTTGCCCTTGCTCACCCCTGCGCCCCTCAGGGCTCCTCTACCTCGCTGCTCCACAGCGTTTGGGTGATACAGGTGGCGGGTCACCTTGAAGATACTGCTTGGGGTCATAGGATGGGTGTGGAAGGGTTAAAATCACCAGCAAAGTGAATTTGGGAATGAATTTGTTACCAGTTCTCCACTGAGCATCCTTCTTCCCTTGAGATCCTGTTTCCTTCTCAGCTCAGCACTGCCTTTGGACGGGGGGACCCCTGCCGAGGGGCACAGATGGGGCCGGTGATTTCAGGGATACCTTATTTTATTTTATTTTTCCTCAAATTTGCAGTTTCAGGAACATTTTTCAAGACGAGTGGTGGCAAGCAGGAGGAATAGACAGGGCAGATGTGTGGTGTTGAAGGCGTGGGTTGTTTGCTGCTGTGGCCCTGCAGGCCCTTCAAAGGGGGCATCTTCTGACGAAACCGTGTGTGTGGGCACTTGCACGTGACCCTGCCATGCAGAAGCAAGCCGGTAACGTGTGATGCCCTGTACCATGTAAATATGTATGTGGTTTTGCTCCAAGAAGGATGAATTACGCAGGTGGTTTTGAAAACGTGTTCCCTGAACATTTTTGATCCTCCAGGGGTAGCAGCAGGAGCTCAGCATCCTTGTGGTGACAGAGGAGTTTGAACAACCAGGACCTAGGCCCCGATTTCTCTAAAAGCCCAACTCCCATCCCTGGGGATATGGATGTCAGGGAGCATCCCCAGCATTTGTGCCACTGGCCTGTGCGCAGGAGAACTTGAGTAAAACTGCTTTTTGAGTATCTTTGGTTTTCAGCAGGCTTATACCTGTAGTAGCTGGCCCCAACAAAGGGAGCCTCTAGGTGTTGCCTGCTTTCTGTCTGTCAGGGGAACAATACCTTTTTGTCAGATTACCTGAGGAGAGAAGAAAAAACAATCCCAACTTGCAGTCCAAGAGTGACTTTTCAGTGTCATTTAACCATGAAAAGACCGTGATGGAACGAGGTGAAAATGTAGCAACTGGCATCAAAAAAAAGCGCCCTGTCAGCGGCCTTTATACCTTGCTAGTGCAAAGGCTTTATAGGAAACAATCTGATAAATCGTAAGCAAGCACAGTTGCAGGATGTCTAAACTACTTGTTTTAACATGCCTTGGCTCCTCATGAATCTTCCTGGTGCTGTAGTGAGTACCGAGTATGATTAGCTCTGCAGAAAAATGTTTACAGCAAAGGCTTGTGTCAGTAAAATAGGTGCTAATGATTTCTGAAATTGTTATGGGAGTACTCTCTTCTTGGATACCATCTACTGTTGTCAGTGTCCCGGGGAATGAGGCATGCATTTAAGGAATGGCCCTTAGTACTGCCTGTTTCATTATGCACTTAGAATTATTCACAGTTTCCTGCGGAGGCTGCTGTGATGGCCAGGCTTTCAGAAACTTCTTTTCCCCAAGTATAAAAAGTGTCTTTCCTATACGATCAAGAAAAATTACATGCATATGGTTCAGATTATAAAATTCTATTTTTAAGTAATTGCTCACAGATTCCGTCTGGCTGTTTTGTGTTGTGTGTGGGTTTTTTTTAAGAAAAAGAAGAAAAAGGAGAAGGGGAAAAAAAAAAGCGCATTTTTGCTCTTGGAGGGTTCCCATAGCGGCACTCTGTGAAGATGCCCTTCCTGAGGGGGTGACTCTGAGATGGCAGCTAAATAAAGGAGCGTTTTCTGCACCTTGTCCAAACAACTGCCTGCCTGAAATCGCTCCTGCTCTCCGCCGTGCCCTGGGCACTGCTGGCACTCGTCTCCCCGAAGCTCTCAGCCACCGGAGCCTCAGCGGGGCTATGGGTCCGACTGGGTGCTGCCGGCAGCTGTTTCCCTTTGGATAAGGCCGAGATTTGTTTTCTGATCGGCTTTTGTTGCAGGCAGAGCAGGGAGTTATTAAACCTCCATCTGGTAATCCAGCCTCCTTCCCAGTTATTTCTGGCAATTTGCTGAGGGTTTTCCCTCAGAGGGCTGCTGTCCCTGCGAGGAGAGCAGCGCTTTTTACCTTTCATTTGTGCTGCCAGAATGACTGGGGAAAAAAACCTCCCCAAAATAACCACCAACTCCTAGTTTTGGAAACTGTAACACAGGAGGGATTCAGTTTCAAGCAGAGGTTTAGTCCCCGTGTCCTCCGCCTCCCTGCCCGGTGAGTCTCAGCGCCGAAGGTGGCCTCGACGCGACGCGATGCGATGTGAGGGATGCTCCCCGCGCAGGAGGGTCCAGCCCGATTATGTAAGGGCGCTGACGGCGCTCATTGGTTTTTCACAGGAATAAAAAGAGCCCTCCCTTTCTCCCTCTCTCCCGCTTTCCCTCGCTGCTGAGGGCAGCATAGGGGCAGAGGTGGGGGGAACAGAACGGGCTTGTCTGGTCCTGACTGTGCAAACACCAAAACCTGCGTTCACAACAGAGCATTTGGTGTGGTAGGGGGAATCTTTCAGCCCTGTTTTCGGGAGGAAGGTGCAGCGACGTGCCTTTGCACAGGGGTGTTTTAAGTGCACCGTGGAGCCTGACTGTGTGAATGATGTGTTAGTGCAGCTTTCACTGGGAAGTTTGGGGGATCAGGCCTCTGAGCAACAGCATGGGCTGCTGAAAGCTCAGCCTTAATAAGAGGGTTTCCCCCCTCCTCCCTTGAAAGGGAATAACCTCATGCTCTGACATCAGGGTTTGACACACTCTGCTGAAAAAAAACCTACAGTAGGGTTTGCCATGGAGGAGAGACCTTCCTGCTCAGCCTGACAGCAGCCTCTGCATGCATCCCCTGCGGAGAGGATGATTCCATCTGGATTTTTGTTCTTGGTGTGAAATGACACCAGCAGCTGGCTGTGGTTGTTGCTGCAAGGGGGCTGCCAGCCCATCGGGGCTGGCACTCAGCTGGGGAGTGAGGATGCTGCCTTGGGGTCTTGCGTTTGACCTCTGATGCGGAGAACCGGGGCTCACCTCTTCTGCTTCTTCATGAAGCAAACTCATGGTCTCATTTTGCATGGTTGTGCTGCAACTTCCCCTGGCATCTCATCTGCGTGATGACTGTTTTGCTGTTCCTCTGCAAGCAGTGGCACCGAAAGCTTCACAGCTTGTGCAGCCTCTGGCTGTGGCCCTTGCGGCTCAGGCTTGCCTGGTCCCCAGCCCCATGGCCCGGAATGAGGCTGGGGAGCTGCGCCTGGTAGTGCCGTCCTCGCCTTCCTCCTGCGTCTATCGAAATGCTTGGTCATGGTGGGAGGGCGTCTGGCTCTGGGAGATAGACTATCTTTGGTGCAGAACTCGACTACATGCAGCAGAAGTACTTTTCTGCAGGAGCAATTAAATTGGTGCTGGTTTTACAGTCAGTTTAGGGTTTAATTATGTTTTGATTGTCTTAATGCCCATTCACAAAGGAAAGTATTCCGGTCTCAAAGTCCCTGGTATATAGAGCACTTGGAGGGATACGTTTTGCCTGGGGTGTTTTATTGTGACCTTGGTCCTGTAAGATTTAATGCCAGCTGCAAGGTGAGGTGAGTTGCTCTCAAGGCTTCCAGAGCAGCAATGGAGACATGCAGGCGGCCTGGGGTTTAAAATGAGGTGACTTTTCCAGTTTGGCTGAGGACAGAAAACATGGGTAGGGTTTTATTTTCTCGGTCCTGCTAGGCTGCGAGCAAAAGTGATGGCAAAGGCGTGGCATTGGTCTGAGCTGTTTGCAGAACCACATTTCCAAGGCAGCTAATGAAACAAGGCGAGAATAGTCTGGCAGCGGAGGTAAAAGGGGTGGGACCTGTACATTAAGCAAGAACCCCCAAGGCCAACTTATGTTTTTGAGGCAGCAAAGCATCTCTCTTCCTGCTGCTGAAGATGGGTGTAGTATTATGGGAAGCTGTATTGTTGGAAAACTGGAACCGCCTCCTTTTTCCAGGGAGGTAAAGAAAGTTCCTGTCTAGGGAAGCCACAAGGGAGAAGTCAACAACTTTTAATTTGATGTTTTGTCTTGAGGAGGAAGACGCTACCTGCCCACAGCCAAGTTCTGCCTCTCCTGACCCTCTGGCTGCACTAGCTTTGAGGTGGGACCGGGAAAATGGTCTACTACACAGCAATTCTTTCTCAACCTGGGATGTAGCCCCAAAACTGCTGGGGCGAGTCCTTTGCAATGAAAGGCTCTAAAACCAAGGCACCTCTGTGGGCTCTAGCAACACCCACATCGTCCTGGCTGGGACAAGATGCCCAAAGAGAGACTTTTATCTTCAGCCTGTGGACAGCCAGGAGAGCTGAGAAGTGGGGCGAGGGCAGGCAATAGTGGGGTGATGCTGTGGGCAAACAGATTTGTGTGAAAAGAGGAGGCGGAGTGGTGTGGGACTATGTCGTGGCTTGGGAAGGCAGTAGGGTGGGCTTCAGCTCACACAGGTCCTAGCATGACCTTGATGCTTCCTTGATTGTGAGTCAAAAGACAAGGCACGAAGCATGTGGCTGTGTTGTCTACTTGGCCAGAGCCCCGGGGCCAAGCTGGCGCTCTGCACTATTCTTGCGATTAAAGAGAGGTATAGACCCGCTCGGGTGCCTCAGGGCAGACTTCCACTCTGTGATTGTGTTCATCTTTTTCCCCAGATTGATAAATACCTTTACGCCATGCGGCTCTCTGACGAAACGCTGATAGACATTATGGCTCGCTTCAGGAGGGAGATGAAGAACGGCCTCTCCAGAGATTTTAACCCGACGGCTGCAGTGAAGATGCTTCCTACATTTGTGAGGTCCATTCCTGATGGTTCAGGTAAGGAGCTGTATTAAACATGGTGTGCTTCGTGGGAAACCTGTTAGAAGTACACCAGTGCATTACCAAGAACAAGATGAATTTACTTTCTGGCAAGCCCAGATAGCATTTTCAAGACAGCCTCCCTTCTGTGTGTAGGTCTGTTCCCACAGACGCTGGAGGATTTTGTGATTCCTGCATCCAACCCATCTGCAGTCAGTCCACTAGCAGCTAATGCATTTATGCTGTGATTTGTCTGCCAGCAATCGATACTTCACACAGGAAGGTTTTTGGTTTGTTTTTTTCTGTGCTCATTGTACCTGATAAAAGCAACACAAAGAGCTATCAGAAATCCCGAAAAATGTTGTGTTTGTCTTTGAGACCGGGATTGCCTCTATTACTTATTTTAGTGTTTGTATACTTGTATACTCTATATAGAGTATTTTTATTTTTAGAATTATATTTATGGACAGAGTGTAATAGTGTTTATGATTTTGTGATAACACTGGGTTTCCTCCTCATATAGCGTGAGTTGGTTAACTGTAGTTTGCTGCCTACCACAAATTATGTCCCTGCGTGCAGAAATTGCACAGCTGCAAGAACTGCATAACATAGTGACCTGTTTTGAGGCTTTTTTGGAGTTAAAATCAAGACTTTATTGGATGAAAGAACATGAAGCCCGATGCTTTGTGTTACTTGGTGCTGTCTGGCAGGTAGAAATCTTTGATTTTTTCTGCCACCTTAAGCTTTCTGGTTGAAATATGATTCTCTGTCTAAAAAAGAAAAAAACAAAAGGGAGAACAAACTTGAATCCTGTGTTCTCCCTTAATTTAGCACTGTTGGCTGTTGTGTTGAAATGTTGTGTTGAAATTCCTGTTGAGAAAGTCTGAAGCTGCCACACACAGCTGGGTCAAGGCTGGGAGTGGCTCTTAAGGGTTTGCAGGTGAGGGCTTTTTCGTGGCATCCCGGCACTTTTACTGGTTCTGAAATCCCCTTTTTTGTCCTTCACGCGTGTTTGAGTTCTGCTGCGTACAGACCTGTCCCCAGCACCCTGCTCCGGCAGGCGCTGCAGGGTAGCAAATCTGAGCTGCTCGCAGCGAGGCAAGTAATTTTACAAGTTGTTCCGTGGCACAAACTGAGGGAGACTTTGAGATGCAGGAAAGAGGTGTGAGAGACGGCCAAATGCTGCTGGAACCGAATCCTCCGGCTGAGCGCAAGCGTGCCTGGGTGTCAAGGCATCCATTTCAGATTGGGTATTACACACCTGCTTAAAAAAGCACCCTCGTGTGTTGGGTGTGGGGTGCTCCGTTCTTGATCCTGTGCCTGTTTGGCTCCTGGCAGCCTCTCAAGGCAGCGCTTTGCCCTGTGCAATTTCTGTTTAACACATCGGTAACCTGTGCCTGCAGGTTCCGAGTGTCTCTTTAGAAGGCTGTTAGAAACGCAGGCAGGACCTTTTCATTATTTCCCAGAAAGGACACGTTCTGAGCTCGGGTGTGAGCGGTATCACGGCCGTGTCCCCGCTGCTGTGCCCAGCGCGTGGGTTCGGCTCCCGGCTGACAGCGATTTCTGCCTTCAGCTGTCCCTCTGTAAAAGCCGGAGGCTGAAAGCCTGCCCTTTTCTCTGGCCCGTCTCTAATTACTGCCGTGTAAGCTCTTTCCTCTGAGTCTGATTATTATTATGAGAGCTGACTATTCAGGAAAATACTGTTGTTTGGTTTCAGATCTGTGCTTGTGTACTTTATTAACAAGGAGCTTTGGAGTAATAATTTCGGAGACTCTGGAGATGTTGGTGTTCGCAGGGTTTTGTGCTTCATTCAGAATTGCTTAATTTATGAAAGCTGCAAGGGTTTTTGTTTGTTTATTTGGTTTTTTTTTTGTCCAGAGTGCCCAGAATGGTATCTCAAGCTAATGCTTTTAAAGGATCTTCCTAAATTAATTTACAGTGGGTTTGATTGCATCTTGGTGTTATAAAGCATAGATCAAATGCTGCTGCTTGGATTTAATTCCTGAAAGAAAACTGCTACTTTGCGTACAGAAAGCTTCACATTCCAATTCAGAGTTTTTGTTTCTTTTTATCTGAAAAAGGCATTTTGTAATAAATATTACCTTGCAATGAGCTTGACGATACTGAAAATCAAACCTGCTAATTCTGTTAGTTTATTGTCAGAGCAGATAGTTCTGAAGTGCAGTATTTGTTTGAGGTGTCGATCGAGGTGTGTTTAAGCTTGGAAAAGGGCCATCTGGTCCAGTGTTGATTTTTCTATTATTTAGTGGAGTTAATGGCTTGCATTTGACAAATGATACTCATACAATAAATCTTATTTGGATATTTGGCTTAATGAGACACTTGTGGGAAATGTTTTGCTTCTGGGCTTGTTTGCAGCGATGGGGGTTACTTACGAGTTGCTGAATTTGTTATACTGAGCCCGATAACGGGGAACTGCACCCACAGTTTGGATGGTCACGTTTTAAATGATGTTTGTACTGGAGCAAAGCTTTGCTGAGGAGCTCCTCTCCTGGAGGTGGATAGGGTGACGAGGAGGAACAGCTCACTAAGCCAGACTTGAGGAATTTGTGTCTGAGATTTGGGCAGGGTAACCTCAGAGCAAGGGGATCTGCAAGTCCTCATGGATAAGTTGCATGCTTGATACGTCGGTGACAGCACAGGGTCAGGGAGCTCTGGGAGCTGAGTCAAAGTTTGAGGTGGCACATTGAAAAGTACTGGTCTTCCTGATGCTAGAGGTCTTTCCACGTTGAATTTAGGTAGGAATGGAAAGATACGGTGATGTTGGGAATGGCCTCTCCAAAGTCATAGTTTAAATTTGGAAGGAAGAATGAAAAGAGGCCAGAGTGCTGCAGGAGGAGACTGGCATCGGTGCAGGATGCGAGGGAGGCAGCTCATCCCACTTGTGGCACTTCTGACACCACAGAAAGGTACAAATCGATGAGGAAACCCAGATGAGAGAGGACCCTGAGCTTCTGCTTCACCACCTTCTAAGCAGCCTCAGTGAGCCCGGGGGTTCTGGGCACAGACGTGAACACTTGCAAAGAGCTTTCGAGATTAACCGCAGCCTGGACACGCACTCCTGTGTGATAAGTTGTGGGCACTGCTTTCCCAAATATTATCTTTTTGCAGACATTAACAATCACTGCCTTTGTTTGCTCCCTCTTAGATAAGAGGAGATAGTGCAAGCAGTTCAGTCAGATATATTTGCCTTGCTCTCCAGGGGGTGCTGAAAGTGCCCTTGCCCACACAGCCCGACCACACATCTCCCTTGCCTGAATTACACCCTGAAGGCTGTGTATGTGGAGGCGCGCTAGCGGATTTGGTTTTGGACCTTTGAAGTCCAAATCCCTCTCTGCCACAGAGGGAAGTGGAGGTATCCTACCTCCGTCCCTGGCTCCTGGGGAGTTATTAGGAGCTCTAGTGCAAAGCGATCGCGACTTCTAACTTGTGCACGGCAGTGTGGGGCTGTCCTGTTGATTTTCCAGCCTGTTGTTTCTCTGACTTCTGTTACTTGACTGCAGTTTGCAGTAAATCTCAGCTTCCAGGGGTGACATAAGTGGTTCCTGCTTTTTAACTACATCAGTCTGTAATTTGTTGGTTTTAGAGCAGCGCACAATCCATTTACCAAAAAGTCACAGGTTCATTTACGGCAACAGACTGCTGGTCAGTGGTCTGGCATCCTTTCATTTTACTGTCTCTGTTTTCCACATCTTTTTTGGATCTTTGCTCTTCCAGCTTTGCCATGGGTGAGATCTAGATAGAGACTGTCTGCAGTAAGTCCGTTCTTTTTGGATAAGCCCTTGTTGCGGTTGCCTGTGTACCAATGGGGGTTGGCGTTGCCATCGCACCGACTTGATGTTAAATTGCACGGAATTGGGTTGATGGTACTGGACACTTCCTAAGTGTTACACTTAGTAGAGCTTGCTGTTCCCCAGATTGGTGTTGCATACAATTTTTAATCGCTTTGTGTCCTGTTTTCTGCATAGAGAAAGGAGATTTCATTGCACTGGATCTTGGTGGTTCTTACTTCCGAATTCTGCGGGTGAAGGTATCGCATGAAAAGAAGCAGACTGTACAAATGGAAAGCGAAATTTATAACACGCCTGAGGATATCATGCACGGCAGCGGAACACGGGTAAGCACCACCTCTTCTTCAGGGCATCTCTCTGAAAATCAGCTGTTTTCACACTGCTGTTTTAGAATATGACCTTAACATTTTTGCCTACAGCATGCACAGACCCAGCTACAGCTCTTTGTCAATACTGAAGATAAATAAGCAGTAGTTAGCGTAACAGAGCATGCATGGGTGCTGCAAATCTGCTGCCGTTGTGTGAGAGACTTTTGGCTGGCTTAGGGAGGAAGTGGCCTAGAAATAAAAATTCTGACTTTGATAGTAAAGTTACTTTCCACAGGCAGGCATGGACAGCAGGAAAACAACTTAGTCTTTGTAAGCAATGAGCATGACGAACCCTGCCACTGTAATATTAGGTGAGGGATAGAAGTATCCATGACAGCCACATATCTGTCCTGGCAGTCTGAGCAACTCAGCATTCCTGAAAAGTACAAGTACGTTAGAAAAATTACAGGAGGCTGATAGAATGTTTTGGCACAACTTCAACTTAATTTTTGCTGAATAAATGATAGGGTGATTGTTGGTTTTTTGTTTTTAGTCACCTGTGTTCCAAGAGTAGAAAATGTTTGGATCCGTGTATTTGGATTTCAAATTGGGTTCTTTGGAAGAATTTATTTTCTTTTTTTAGATCAAGAAGTGGATGACAATGAATATTTTACTGACAGATTTGTCTCTGTGTCAGTGTAAGACCAAACAGGTAATTTTCATTGTTGGGAACAGCAAGGTTTTTTACACTTTTTGCTAGAACGAGATGCTACTTAGGAGTATGAGACTTGAAGGAAACTTAGAGCTTCTTTCTGAAGAATAACCAAAAGAGGAAAACAAATAAAAGAAACATTATGGGAAAAACATTTCTACCCTTAATGTACTTTCTGTAGCCACTTTAATACTAGTGATGTATGTATCTAACAACTGCTGCTGCATTCTTATGCAATAGTGAGTGTAAGAGGGCAATCACGACTTTTAAGTAGCACTGATACAAGCCTTGCTGTGATACCTGAACCAATGCCTTCCTTGTGAAGACTTTTCCTAACATTGCTACTTTGTCATCTGGCCAAAAGGACATGCAGTTGCTCTTCCCCCGGGGCAAGTTTTTGGCTGGGGGAGCTGAGCTGTTACTGGTGGAATGTTGCCTGTTGCTGATGGAATGGTGGAGGTGGGCTTGCAGGGCTGCCCGCACACCCCGGCGGCAAGTATCTGTGCCTGGGAGGCAAGGCTTAAGGTTGACTTAAGGTGAGGCTTGATGGAGACACAATGAAGGTGGTAAGGAGAAGCCCGGAAAGGAGACATCGAGTCTTGCGTTCTCTCCAGGGCTTTGTGCTGTTTATGTTTTCATTTTTAAATATCTGAAGGCCATTTGGCTGTCAGGAATCAGCAGCATGGACCTGAGATGGATAGGCTTTGTCATGGCTTTTAAACTGAAGGGAGAAGCAGGAAAGGCTCCCACTGCCCTTGGAGGGGAACAGTCACTCCTAGTACTTAAGTACCAGGAAAAGAAGAGCTGAAAGCATCATCAGAACCGCAACCAGGTTTGAAGTTGTCCCATGACAATGTCCAACCCCAGCTAAAACACGTGCAGTGAGGCTTCACAGGGACGTGTGGTGGGTGCCCGGGAGGCACACAGGCAGGTGGTGATTCGATGCTTCTGACTGATGCACGTGGTTGAGGTTCTCTGAAATCTCTGAGCCGGATGAGTGGAACGCTTGGACTGAGCTAGCTGGCGTGGGGTAGGCTACTAAAACGTTTTTCAGCAAGCTGTGTCATTAAATTCAATGAGTTATGCTTCTAAAGCCTAATATATAATCAACTTATTGAAGAGATTGTGATTTCTGGCTTCACGCCTGACTAGCACAGTTTGTTTTGATATTTTATACTTCATTGCACTAAAAATTCTATTTTTGCCCATCCGTCAGACACGGGCTGACCGCTTTGCCAGGTGGAGACGGTTCCCTGTCAAAGTCAAGAGCAAATCTCTCATTGACTTCAGCAGTGTAATAGCAGGTCTACAACTTGTAAGAAGCATGTCTTCCACGTCAGCTCAGCAAACAGGAGCATGCCTGGGGCTTGAGTTTGGTGTTGCTTTTTGTGTTCTGCTGCCAGTGCAGGTGGGTTATGGATTTGTGGGTGTTCTCCCACTCTGAAGCTGTGATTTCCTTGCTCCTTCGGTCTTCTCCACTCAGGGGCTTGAGCCCGAGTTCAGATCTTCAGTTGCTTGCCAAAATCTGGTGGCTGACAGCCAAATGCTTCCTTGTGGAGATTTCTTGGAGCCCAACCTGAGCAGGCAACTTCATGGCCAGAGGAAGTAATGAAGCGTGACAGCATATTGCTCAGGAGCTCATGGCTATGTCGGTTCAAATCTATGAAGATGTAAAATCTGGCTGGTTCTTCACTCTTGGCTGTGGCGTTTGCTGTCCTGTCTCTTTGACGTTTGGTGTAGTGTTGGGCTCATGCCATTGCCCGCTGCACACCCATGGGTGGGCAAGAATTTGGATTTATCCTCCACTTGCCTGCCCTACTCTAATGAAGTCTACAGGTACTTTGTAACGGTGCCTGTCAGAGTCACTGGGCATTTGCAAGGTTTGGATGTTGATCTCCACCAGGGGCATGTACAAGTGCTTCCTTGAGTCTCCTCAGGAAAAATCTCATGACCGTCAATGGCAGCAAAGTTAATAAATGCCTCTCTTTTCTCCTTTTGAGCAGGGCCTTCCCCCTGTGCTTTCTTAAAAACAGTAGCAGAGCCAGGCCACGCGTTACTGACTTGACACTGCTACTGTGGTGTCGAGAACACGGCTAATCGTTAACCGCGTCGCCCCGCTGCCAGCACAGAGCCCTCGCGATCCCCCGTGCCCAGAGATCTTTTGCTGTCAGACTCAGAAAGCAGGTCCCGTCTCTTTCTCTCTCTGCAGTCGTGGTTCACTGAGTGAGAGGGATTTCTGTAGTAGTCGTTGATATTTCTGCTTCCTGCCCTCTGAATTCCCGAGAGGTTTGATGTTGGCTCCTGGTTATTGTTTGTAGGAGCAGCTGAAAGTTTAGTAGGGTTGAGTATTTAGCGAGATGCTTTGAGATGGAAAGCATAATAAAAATGTATGCTCCTGTTCCTCCTGGAGAGGTTGTCATGTTTTATTACTTAGCTATAGTTCTTCTTTTCATAACTCCTTTTCCTCCCTCCCTCATCTGGACAGCTGAAAAGAGACTTTCAGAAGCACAGCAGCAGTGTACACTGCTTTCCCATGCTGTTCCTCTGCATGCGCTCAGTGAAATGTTCTTGATCTGCCCAGGGCAATGAATGGCAACATTTTTCTCTGGGAAACTACTGTACTGCTTCTTAATCACATCTGACCTCGTTTTAGGAATGGGTTTAAGATGCTCTGTTAAATTGTAACACACAGGTGCCACTTCTTGACCTGCTTCGAACAGCAAAATACTCCTTTTTTTTTGTTTTTTTTTTTAACTGTTGCAGCCGTGTTTTGCTGTCTCTCCAAGACTCTGTAAATTGTTCTTAATCAAGCTGCGCATGCCAACTGCAACCAACAGATACCCTTTTGTACTCCCTCCCAGTTACCCCCCAACCTTCCCGGCGATTTTCCTGGCCTCATCCCACCGGTGCTGCAGATCGAGTTGGATGGTGTTTTGTTTTTGCAGGGAGTTAAAACGTGAAGCACAGTTACCTTCCAGGCCAGGCGGCAACTTGTTAGCAGTTCGACGTCTGTGGACAAATCCCCTGGGTTTGCTTTTTGTTTGTTCGCTGTGTGCTTTAGGAATAGATTTGAGAGATGATGTCCTTTTGGGTGGCTTCTGCGAAGCGCTGGCTTCTCTGATCTCAGCAGTGCTTTGGTGAAGCAGATGTTGATCTCCTCTGTGTGGCTGTAGAAGCACTCAACCTCATGTGGGATGGACCCTAAAAGTTCTTTTGAGATGCTTCTTCCTGTTGTTGAAAGGTTAAAAGAACATTTTTGTTCCCATCAAATGTTAAGTGGAAGGGTTGTGGCAGGCTTGAGAGCCATGTGCTGCTTCTTTTGGGAAAAGGATTTTTATATGGGTGTAAAATGATATATAATTCATGTATTTTTCTTGTTCAAGGTGTTAAGACACACTGCCTGAGAGTGTTTTCATAGCTTTGTCATTTAAATGTCTTTGAAAATTCAGAGTAGGTATTTTCCCCTTTCCCCTCAGCCAGCACAGTTTTCATAGGCAATTAGAAATGTTTTCTCCCTGAAACTATATTTCTAATCATGGTGGTTTTACATGTTCCTTTTTCTTGTAGCTTTTTGATCACGTTGCAGAATGCCTGGGAGACTTTATGGAGAAACAACAAATCAAAGACAAGAAATTACCAGTTGGGTTTACATTTTCTTTCCCATGTCGACAGTCCAAGCTAGATGAGGTAAGAAGATTTCACAATTTTCTTAACAAGCAGAAGAGCAACCGCATTATTAAAACACTGCTGTGAGAGCAGGATCCCAAACAGGCCTCATTTTCAGGATAAATGAGTGTTGTATTTCACTGTCAGACTTCCCGTTCGGGTTTACGTTCAGACTGGTTAACAGATGACGAAGAGGCATGTGACGTTTTGTGCTTTGCCTTTACACAAGCTCCTCAGTGTTAGAGTTTACTGTGTAAACAAGGTAGCGGTTTTTCCTGCCTCCTGCGCAGAAGTTTTTCCCCTCTCCACGAGGTGTAACTGGGAGGCACCTGGCCCAGCAGTGTTTGCTCAGACTTTGCTGAGTGTACGTACTCATCCAGGTTAGCGTCTCCTTCCTGAGCAGCAGTGCTGAGCCATGCCCCGAGCCGGGCACCTGGAAGCAACACACTTTAAAAAGGGCTGGAAATAACCAGCATTGTATGAAGCGACTGCTGAGATTCCTGGGACAAGGATGCTACGGTATTTCTGTTCGTGTCACAAGTGACTCGGCAGCTTCCTGGCGTAACAGCATTGCTATGGCGACGGCGTAGCGAATTAACAAGGAAAGGTAAATCCACACAAAGCGCGGAGAGATTGCGCTGTTAAAGCACGACCTGCTTTTCTAGCTTGCAGGTCTCTAGGTTAGCCTGGTGCAACAGCTCGCCAGATGTTGGTGCTGAGGAGTGCCAGGTGAGGCACTATTTTTGTTACATTTCATACTTCTTGAGCGATGCTGAGAGCTGAAACCAAGGGTGCTGGCTGACTCAGGGTCTGAACATAGTTAAGATTGGAGAGTGCCTTTTCCTGCATTGCTTCAGGAGAGATGACTTGATTTTGGACAGTAAGAGACAAGGTAGGGTCTCTCTTAATAAAAAAAAACCCAAACCAACACAAATTCTCCTGCGGGTTTTTGCAATGTTGTGAGCATTTGAAAAATATGGGTTGTTTGGATTCTCTGAGCCGAATCTGTTCCCAGATTGCTGCTTCTGTGAGGCTATGCTCACCTGGATGCTGGTTTCTTGTGCCCGGTGAGCGGCAGGAGGCGTGGTGGTCCCTGCTTTCTCCACGGGTAACAAGGTGGTGCCGCATGGTTGGGTCCTGCTCATTTAAACACTCCTCCGTCCTGCCAAGTCCTCACTGGCAAAGCAAAACAAATCCTTCCAGCACAGCAGCCGGTCAGGCTGAGGGGAGCTGCTCTTTGCCAGGGTGGCTTCATCAGTTTCCTGAATGATAAAAGTGACATGGAACAAAGGGCCCCTTTTGCCCGTTAAAGCTGTGCCTGCAGAGCAGGCTTTGCTGGGTTTCTAATTGATTCTAACGAGGGCAGCAGAGTGGCAAACCGAGTTTGCGGTTCAGTGGTAGGAGAATACCTCCTGGTCTGGAAAGAGTCACCCTGACCCCTCTGTGCACTGTAACTGTCCCAATTGGGAGAGCAAACGCGCCCAAGACACGTGGTTGGTTTTGAAGGCGAGATGTGGGCAGTGGCTGCTTGTGCCAACGGGCTTCAGCTTTTCTGGTTTTCAGCTTCTCGGATTCCCATTGTGATAGATGTGAATTTTGTGGCGGGTATAAAAAGCCTGTTGACTACTGTCAATGCTCTTTTCTTTCTTTTATTGTTATTTACTTACATACTGAATGCTCTGAATCAGCTAGGCATTTTCCAAATAGAAAAAAAATTAGGTGTAGTCATTACCTTGGGGGATTTATAGACTCTTTATGATGGTGTGCAGACAAGGAATTCAATACCGGGATTTCCTTTTTGATCCATTGCTGTAAATTTGGGACATACGTTGCTACATTTCCAGTATTTCCATTTGCCTCTACCCGTAAACAGTCCCACAGTGAAACAAGCCCGGCCAGCTGGGACTCCAGGCAGCAAACGTGCAGCACTCTGATCCCTGGCTGCAGCCGAGTCCCGGTTGTACAAACATCACATCCCTTCTCTTTAAGCAGTCCCGCGCAGTCAGCTTTTTCTGAAAGCAGTCGATTTCCATGGCCCAAAAGGATTAAACGGTTTTCCAAGAAAAACTGTCGAGGAGTAGCGGGGAGAAGAGTGGGCTGAAAATACAAAATGCAAGCAAACCATTTTCTAGAAACGGAGGGTAAAACAATTTCCCCTTTCAGTTTACTGTAGTGAGAATTAAAGACTGCCGATTGTCTCAGGTTAGATTGTTGGGTCATGTAAGAAAAGAGGCCTAAAGATACATTTTGTTGTATAAAATCTTGGGTTTGAGGGAAAAAAAAAATAATTTGTGTCTTATGGTGGCACCCTGTTGAATATTGGTCTCTTGTTTTATCAGGGCATTCTGATAACCTGGACGAAGCGCTTCAAAGCCAGTGGAGTGGAGGGAGCAGATGTTGTGAGGCTGCTTAACAGAGCCATCAAGAAACGAGGGGTAAATTGTACTTCGTTCTCTTTTTTTTTTTTTTTTCCACTCTGTATCACAGCAAACTGGCATTTCTTTGTCAGGGACCACCCTTCACGTCACTGACTTGGGCACGTGATCCAAGTGGTGGTGCGCAGTTGGCTTTCGTGCATGAAGACGCGCGCGAGCTTTGCCGTTTGCGAGGAAAACATTCAGAGTCGCGTTGGGGAAGCTGCGATTTTCCTCGTGGCACAGAGACTGAGTTAGCATGTTGTGGTTTGTCACTGGCAACCTTCAGCTCTTTTATTGCTCTCCGAAAACCGAGAAAGTTCTGCGTCTCAGTGCCACAGGGTTTTAGCGATACCAACACGTCCCGTTAACTGAGAAACTGTGTCTCGTGGTCTGGGCTCAGCTGGGTTGTGCAACTCCCTTGCTAGAGAGGAGCAGAAGAGAAGGGGGATTTCGGGCTTGGTGAACTGTGTTGCTCTGCTGATTTTTATAGAGGATGAAGGTGACCAGGTTGCTGATGTAAACAAATAAAAAGGCACTGAGCGTGAGATGGAATGAATTTGGGTTTGTGTAATGTTTGCAGCCAGGTGTTACAGTGATTACTCAGCATCCAAATTAATTGGAAGCCAGGCAGTATTCATTCTGTTTGGGAAGTTGTGGACTCTTAAGCAAACCTGAGTTCTACTGTCACTGAACAACATTACTGTAGTCAGTTACTATCATCAGACTTGATATCAGGTAGAATAACGCACTGGAGAAGCTGGGAAGGGAATGAGTTCATGTCATTTGGAGAACTTATTTAATTGCATAATGTGCCTATATTTTTGGTATCAAAATCTTCACTTGAGCCAAAAAATAGATAATTTGGGAATAATTTCTAGATTGACTTTTCAAGCAACTGCATCAAATTACTCCGTGATGTTTAACAGCAGTTTTCCTCCCTCACTCCCTCATGTACAGCCCTTTTCTTTCCTGCCTACGGGTGCTTATGGGAGAGCAGGTCTTTGCTCTCTTCCTGCTGTTTTACCATTTGCCGGGTGCATTAATCTGCTCTTACTGTGTTCTTGGGTACGTGGGATAGGGAATTGGCAGACGGAGCAGCTGATGCTTAAAAAAGATGAGCTTTCGCATTCAGACAAATTATTTGTCTCTCGTTCCTTGTGAAATTAGTTGGTACATGCAAACCTGTGATAGACACAAGAGGTGTTTTCTGGAGAAGCTGTATGACCCAAGTAACGTTTTGTTCCCCCATCAGGACTACGATGCAGATATCATGGCTGTGGTGAATGACACTGTCGGGACTATGATGACCTGTGGTTTTGATGACCAGCGTTGCGAAGTTGGCTTGATCATTGGTAACGCATATTGCTGCTGCAGCATGCACGTGGCTTTTCTCCCTTTGCCTGGCCTGTTTGGTTAGCGCCTTCTGATGTCCTTTCCCTAAAGGCACTGGCACCAATGCCTGTTACATGGAGGAGATGCGGCACATCGACCTGGTGGAAGGGGACGAGGGCAGGATGTGCATTAACACGGAGTGGGGGGCCTTTGGAGACGATGGCTCGCTAGAAGACATCAGGACTGAGTTCGATCGAGAGATTGACCGTGGATCCCTTAATCCTGGGAAGCAGCTGTGAGTGAGGCAGATATTCGTGAGCTTTGCTTCTTTTGTTTTCCTCTCCATGCTCCCTTTTCCGCTTGTGTTATGAGTTTGGCAGCTCAAGAAAGCTCGAGTTTGTCCGTGGTGAGGCAAAATGCAGGCTGGGCTGGGGGATGCGGCAGCACAGCTGGGCTCTGTCTCCTCGTGCCACCCACGGGCGAGTGGGTGACTGCTGTTGTCCTCTCCTGCAGGTTTGAGAAGATGGTCAGTGGTCTGTACATGGGGGAGCTGGTGAGGCTCATCCTGGTGAAGATGGCCAAGGAGGGGCTGCTCTTTGAGGGGAGAATTACCCCTGAGCTTCTCACCAAAGGGAAGTTTGAGACAAAGCATGTTTCTGCCATAGAAAAGTGAGTACCTATCGCTTTTTCACCCCCTGGGTTTCGCTGTGACTCTGGATGTTAATTTGCCGGCATCTCTTTCTGCCTTCTGGGGACATGTGCTGCGCTGGGGGTGGCTGCCGTCCTCCCGTCCTCCAGCGCAGATGCAGAACTGGCCTGTGGGGACCCCCAGCAGACAGCATGTGCCTTCCTCCCCAAGATTTCTCCCTTTCTATCTCTTGGGAGGAACTACAAAAGTCTCCCAGCCCTTGCAGCTGCAGGCTGCGCACTGTGCTACCTCTCACTCTGCTCACAGAGACTCAGAAGTTGCTGCCCTGCAGCTAAACACAGGAGTGAGTTGGCTTTGTGCCTCCCAGCAAATACTTGCCTTGCTCCTTGCTGTATCCACGGGATTGCTGGGCAGAAAGAAAAGAAGCGTGACAAGGCAGAGCATTCAGTCTCGTAGGCAGCACTGGGCACTGCGTGCTGACCTCTGAGCTATGCGCCAGTTGGTTTCTTACGGTGTCATCACCCCTTTGGTCAGTACTTAAAGGCGTTTTTAAAATTCACATCACTGGGATAGTTTGTACTGTAGTCATCAGGCTGGTTTTTCTTTCAAAATGCTGCCGATTTTGGCGCATGCCTGTAGAGGTACTGTTGATTGCCAGTGCAACACCGAGGGAACAGGATCTTCTATGATGCCTGTTGCCTCTTGCCCAGTTTTACTCCTGTCCCTGTGGACTGTCTTATTTGAACAGCTTTCCACTAATCTGTGTGTGCATTCACCTTAAGTACAGAGGTCCATGTTGTGGACCAGTGTTGAGCTGCGCAACAACGAGAAAAATTAATTTACTGAGAAATCCAGTTAAGAGCTAAATTCACCCTGAAATCTCACCTCGCTTCCTGAAGGGCACTTTGGTTATAAGTAGGGGCACATCTGTGTGCAGCTTCAAATTTCTAGCTGATGCTAGCAAGGTGCAAGAGTCCTTAAGAAGATGTATGGAGCACAGTTAGTAATGACAAGATATACTCCTTGTGTTTTTGTCTTGGGAAGTGACTGGGCTGCATGTGGCTAAGTTTTGCCAGAAACTTTGCTCTCATACTGGTTGCTAATGAAGAGAGAATGCAGTGTGAGAGGCAGAAATCCAGTGAGGTTGTAAAAGCCTGAAAGGAGACCCATTAAGATGAAATCACTCAGGCTACTTTCTCTTGGGGTTTTGCTTTTCATGCTGGGCTTAATTTATTGAGGTATATGAGCAAGTGAGCATGGGATTAGGTGTACACTCAGGACTGTGCTGAAGAAGCATTTAATTCCTCCAGGTCTGTAAAGGCACTTGCAAGTTGCTAATTTTCATGGGAGTGTGCTGAAGGAGCTGTGCTTTGGGTCCAGCCCTGGAATTGCATGGTTTGTAGGTGGTGTGTTTGCACCAGGCTTTAATAGAAAGCTGTTTCTATCTGTGAATTAGTGCATATTTAAAGAATTTTATTTCAAGCCTTGTGGAGCTTCCCAGTCCAGATCTCTTAAGAAATTTTCTATCTAAGCACTTTCTCAAGTCCCAGGCAGGGCCACCCGTAGTTGGACAAGCCTCGCTCCTGCATTTTATAGCTCCCTGGCTAAGGAGTTACTCTTTCCTGCTCTCTTTTTGTAGGAGCAAAGAAGGTTTGAATAAAGCCAAAGAGATTTTAACTCGCCTGGGGGTGGAGCCGTCCCACGAGGACTGCATCGCCGTCCAGCACGTCTGCACCATCGTGTCCTTCCGCTCGGCCAACCTGGTGGCCTCCACATTGGGTGCCATCCTCAACCAGCTGCGGGATAACAAAGGGGTCGGCCGGCTCCGGACCACCGTGGGAGTTGACGGCTCCCTCTACAAGATGCATCCGCAGTGAGTCCCTCTGCTCCCCAAACCAGGCCACGCGGTTTGGGTGTGAGATGCGGAACCCAGGACGTGGGTGTTGGGGTTTGGTCCGAGATATGGAGCTTAGTGGAAAGGAGAGAGACATCTTTAAGTGAAGAAGTAGGTTTTGCAAAAACAAAACCACAAAGAAAAGAACCAGACCCCTGGATAATTGCATGCCGTAATTTCAGTGAAAACTATGGTCCTTTGAGTACATACCTTAAGGGTTCTCAACAGACTTCTTGGAAGGAGAGTTTCTTTGTACAACATACTACTTTGTGCCCACAGCTTTGGCTCTGCGGAGGCCTGCATTATTGCACCTTGATTCCGTTTTCAATTTCAACTCAGTTGGTTTTTGAAAATGACTGCTGAACCCTCTTTTTTCCAGTCTTTTTTGAAGACATACTTGGAAACCAGGGGAAAGAAATTGGTGCTTACTTCTAAAAACTGGCTTGCTCTTGATTTTCCCCATCTCAAAAGTTCTCTTTTTTTTAAATCAAACTACTGTTTAGAATTACGTAAGAATCAGAGAGGAAGTCGAACTCTTCTGCTGTGGGTGTACCTGGTCCTGGTAATGGTGTTTGGTGTGAGTCTTAGTGTCAAAAATGACCCCAGTGCCCAAGCCCTAATGCTGTGGATTTTTGGGAGAGCAGCACCACCTGCGTAAGGGTTTCCAAGTTCAGAATGAAGAAATGGAAGAAGTATGCAGTGTGTGGGTGTGGTTTACGCACACATGTTAAAAATCTTTTATTTAGTAAATACTAACTGGTGATAACCAGTCAGTTTCCAATCTGGCTGTAGAATTGAGGGGCATACATGGGCAAGTTTTGTTTCTGAACTGTTGCCCAACAGCATTTAAACCAGTGAATTTGGGACAGCTTGGTGACCCCAGGAGAGGGGATGGGAGCAGCGGTGGAGCCAGGGGGTTTCTCCCATCTAGGATCAGGCTCAGGGGATCAGACTTTGATCCTCCCCCCTCTTTTTTGCTGGCTTTTCTTACAAATCCAGGAGGAAAAAGGCCACAGGGAAGAACTCTTCCCTGACCATTTTCTTGCTTGGGAGGCCATAGCTAATTTGGGCGTTCTGAGGCTCCTCACTCCCCTTGCCATGGGTCAGTGTGGGCAGCCTGGATTTGGGGCTCCGTGGAGGAACACGATGCAGACAGAGGACTTGCAGCCTCTCCCCTCCCCGCAGGTATGCCCGGCGTTTGCACAAAACCACCCGTCGCTTGGTGCCCGACTCAGAAGTGCGGTTCCTGCTGTCGGAGAGCGGCAGCGGGAAGGGAGCGGCGATGGTGACGGCAGTGGCATACCGGCTGTCGGAACAGCACCGGCTCATCGACGAGACGCTGGCTGAGTTCAAGCTCACCCACGAGCAGCTGCTGCAGGTGAAGAAGAGGATGAGGGCAGAGATGGAAGCGGGGCTGAAGAAGAAGACACACGAGACTGCCAAAGTGAAAATGCTGCCAACCTTTGTCCGCAGCACGCCAGATGGGACAGGTAGAGGCACCGGTCTGGCTGCAGGGTGCCCAAAACGGGCTCCCAGTGACGGGGTTTTTGTTTGGTGGAGGGGGACCAGATCTGGTACAATGGAAGAGGAGCCTCCTGTGCTATGCAAAGGAGGAGATGTCAGCCTGTGCTGCCCTCATGCTTCTTTGCATTTCAGGGTGGCCAGCCAAAGTTTTGCTTTCTTTTAGGGAACAGTTGTGTAGGTCCACTTTCCCTTGTTAGTTTAAACAAAAGAAAACAAGACACCCAAAAAGGCTGGAATAATCAGGGCAGCGTGTAAAACTGCTTAGAGGAGGATCTTCCCAGCTGATTTTATATCAAAGTGCTTCCTGAGCAAAGCACTTTTTAGATTTTGCTTGTGGTTCTTTAAATGTGCACAATATATTATTTTACAGAGAATGGAGACTTTCTGGCACTTGACCTTGGAGGGACAAACTTCAGAGTTTTGCTGGTGAAAATCCGCAGCGGTAAAAGGAGAACAGTTGAGATGCACAACAAGATCTATGCCATTCCGATAGAGGTGATGCAGGGAACAGGAGAAGAGGTGAGCATTTCTCTCTTGCATCACCACTGCTTTTTAGATACCTTCTTAAGGGTGCGTGACACATACCACCTCAAATGCATTCATTTTCTCTTTCAAGCTGTTTGATCACATTGTTACCTGCATTTCGGACTTCCTGGATTATATGGGGATAAAAGGTGCACGTCTTCCTCTTGGCTTCACGTTTTCCTTCCCTTGCAAGCAGACCAGTCTGGATGCTGTAAGTTCCTAAGTATCTTTTGAATCTGCTTTTGTGCTTATGTCAGGCCTGATTTCTCTGCCGTAATGTCACCTACGTGACACTTACAAGAAGGTTATACGAGGGGAGGGTTCATGCTCTGACCCTGACCAGTACAGCTGCTCCTATAAATAGTTCCTTTAAAGGTAATAATGCAAATGCTGCTCAGCCTGGGGCTGTGTCAGATAAGAGCATTTAAATTTTCCATTAAAAAGCAAAAGTCCATCCCTGCTGCCAATGTCTGTTCCCTGGCTGATCCAGTCTAACCGGACGGAGCAGATGGACCAGGGCCTAAGAGTCCTGGTCACCCTAAGAGTGACAGTGTAGCCTCCAGCTTGTTCCGGTCTGGTGTGCCCGTTTTTGCATTTATGCTTAACTTTGCCACGTACTTCCACCAACTCCATCTGTGCCACTGTTAATAGTTTCCTGTCTCCTTGGCACTTTTTGGAAAAAAAGTTGTAATTTGTCACACTTTTTTTTTGTTTTCCTCAAGTTTGCATTGCTCTGGAAATTTGGAGACCAAGCATGATTAGTGGTTTTAGATGCAAATTCCACATATATAAAGAAATACTCCTTTTCATCGAGACTCCCATGCATAACCTCACACTAAATCATTTGAAATGTTGAGTGCACAAGGTAACATTTGATGAATATTTATATATAACGATGGAGGAAATAGGAGCAGTATTCAAAAGTCCAACTCTAAAATGCTGATGGTAGGAGGCTTGATCAAGCCAGGGAGACTTAGGAGTGCATCTGGAAGAGAGGACAGGTTATTCAGCAAAATGTATTGTGTGTGCTGGTGAATACTGGAGAGCCTCTGCCTGGAGCTGAGGCCCCCTATGAGTCTGTGTACCAACTGCGGGATTTTTGGGCCATCATGAAACCTGATAACCTGGTTTCTTCCTTTTTAGGGTATCCTTCTCAATTGGACAAAAGGCTTCAAAGCTACAGACTGTGAGGGAGAAGATGTGGTGTATTTGCTTAGAGAAGGAATTAAAAGAAGAGAGGTGATTTCTTTGTTTTTTTGTTCTTTTTCTCCTCCAGCTTCTCCCTCCTCCCAGACTTGACAGACCTCGTGGGTTGGGCTGGTTCCTTCTCACAGAGCTTGTGTGAGGTCTTGTGAGAGGGTGCGCAGTGGAAATGGGAAACTTCAGCCATCAAACTAAAATCGCTACTCAAATTAAGCTACACTGGGGATTTTGTTTCATAGTTCAGTTTCTTTTTTTTTTTTTTTTTCCCCCTGGAGGCTAACTTTCTACATTTGGCAGAAGTCTAAAGGCTTCTTTCAAACCCTGTGGCAATTTACACTGCATCAGAGCATGGAGAAAGGAGTTTTCACTATAGTGACTGTAGGAATGTGCCTCAGTGCATCCTAAATGATAGTTTTTCCCACTCCCAACTCTTGATCTTGAAAACATCTCAAGCAGCATAGCTGAAGCTTTCTAGGAAGGGAAGAAAAATAGCCTGAGGAGAGCATTATTTTGCAGTTTTTATCAGCAAGTGCAAAGGAGGTCTTGAAAACCTCAGCGACTAGATTTGCTACCGCACTGCTGTGGTACAGAACAGCAGGAGCCCTCTACCATGTGCCTGTATACGAGACCTGCACTTAAATATACATAAGCTAAGGAAAACAGCCAGGAATATCCTTTCTTCTGCAGACATAGTCTATTGTAAGTAGAGCACACAAGGAGCCTGGCTGGCAGATTAAGTTCCTATTTTTGCACATGGAAAATCCAGCTGGTACTCTTGGTTGTTTGTTTCCAGGGTGTTTTGACAGCATCCCCTTTTGTGTGCTACTTTTGTGTCCTTTGGTGCGAGGGCCTGCCCTAAACCTGGAGTTCTCTCTGTTGTGTTTCTGTCTCCTGAAGGAGTTTGACTTGGATGTGGTGGCCGTGGTGAACGACACAGTGGGCACGATGATGACTTGTGCTTACGAAGACCCAAACTGTGAAATCGGACTCATTGTGGGTACGTGTTGGAGCTGCTTTTTATTTGGCACTTTTTTATTAACGAGCATGTTGACACATCTGTCTGTTTTCTCATGGAGATGTCCCAGTGATTAACTGAAAATACAGCTAGGGTGCCCAGGAGTGAAAGATTTTAAGATTAACAGCTATCCCTTCAGAAGCAAGCTGCATGAGTGAGTTAAAAGCAAGATTCAGCAGCCAGCTTAGTTCTGTCCATGATCAGTTGAGATAAGCACAGGCTCTGATGCTGAACAAATCCTGCCTGTTTTATCGGGGAACTTTTATCTGCTTTATCTGTTCCTCCGGTGAAGCGAGCTAACGTGGACTTGGGTAACCTCACCAGCTCCTGAAGTATCTGTTAGTTTAGCCCATAAGGGTTTCCTTGCTAGGGTGTTCAGGTAGCTCACAGCTTCCCTTGAGCATGTAGTCTCTCAGAATAAACTTGTGAAGCGTAGCCACAATCCTTGAACGGCGTGTGACCAAAAGCTCTGATGGACAAAGCGAGGCAGCTGACAGCTCCCTTCCCGGCAGCGAGACAGCTGAAATAATTCCACAGGAGACTGCCAGTGCCTTTGCAAATGCTGCGCTTGGGGTGTTGCCTGAGGTACAGGGCAGTGCAAGTTCCCAAAGCTTTCCAGAGAAATGACTTCTCAGTAGGAGAGAAGGGGACAAAGCACCTGCAAGCTTTAAGAACGCGTTCGGTTGCGGGGCGGCTTACGGGAAAACGAAACCCCACCGATTTCTCCTCCAGACATTTGGAAAACATCCAGGATGAGTCAGCACAGTGCGGCGTGAGTGGGGAGCCATGTCTGCACTGCTCAGTCATGGTGTGTTTTCAGGGACAGAGTTTCCTGCAGGAAGGACAGTGTGTCCTTGGGGTGCTGAGAGAGTCCTCCGAGGACAGTGTTTGGAAATTCGTACTGATGAGACCAGGCCTCTGCTTTTCATCTGAAATCCAAGACTTTTCCCCCAAGACCCTGCGCTGTGGCTGAGCTCTCCTGCAGCAGGGGAGTGCTGTGGGAGGATCTATTTTTGCTCAGACTTTTAGTGATGTAGTACCCTAAAAGAAAAATCACAAAGGAAACCAGACTTGCTGATATAATTGGTGCAGAATCTGCCATGCAAGGTTAAATGAGATTTTGGTAGGCAGCATCAAGAAAACTTTAACCCCAGGTAGCAGCAAATGCTGTCTCTCTTTGCTTATAAAGCTTTGCTCTCACTAAGGCCTCTGTGTGCATGGAGCACCTTGTAATTGGCACGTTCTCTAGGGTGCCCTTTAAGCAGAATCAGATATGGCATAATTTCAACAGAGAAGTAACCTTCCTGCCAGAGAAACTATTTAAGCCATTTGAATCAGAGGAAAACCAAACCAGAACTAAAAAATACCCTGTCATTAGCTGGTAAAATCCCTGGAGTTTTCTTTGCCTCAAAACACGCTGAGGTTTTCAGTTGTGCAAATTTTCCTCTGAATTTTTTGGGGCTGTGGGCTTTGTAGATGGTGTTTTCTGACTTCAAAATCCACCTGATTGCTTACTGCAATTTTGGGTTCAGAAGCACGTGAGGATTGGTGTGTCAGAAGTGCTGCCCAGCCAGCCTGGGCGAGCCTCTTCTCTGAGCAACCCGAAGTGCTTTGCAGCAGTAATAGTCTCCTTCAATTTAGGATTATTGAATAATGAGCGTTTTTGGTGGTGGTTTTTTGTGATGTTTCGAAAGATAATTTGACTTCATCATTCAGAACAAGCACATTCACATATCCCCTCGAAGTTGTTTTTCTCTTCAGGGCTGTCGTGCTTGTTCTAGGGCTGTTCTGTTCCAAAACAGAGTAATGTCAGTGTTTTCTTCTTTCAGGAACTGGCAGCAATGCCTGTTACATGGAAGAGATGAGAAACATAGAGATGGTGGATGGTGAGCAAGGACGGATGTGTGTGAACACGGAGTGGGGAGCATTCGGGGATAACGGATGCCTGGACGACATCAGGACGATATATGACAAAGCGGTTGATGACTATTCGCTAAATGCTGGAAAGCAAAGGTACTGTGGCATAAGCGGTGGGCTAAGTATAAGCCAGGCTGTCTTCGATGCTTTTAAGAGAGAATTGGATTTCTCCCAGTCAGAGAATGGAGAGATTAAGAGTGGAAAAGCTACCTCAGCCCTGCTATCCGGTGGGATCTCCCTCTTCTGTAGTTTTACTGGCTGCTGCTTTTTTGCAGCTTGTTTACTGCCACGAGACTGCAGGAGGTTTTTGATGAGAACTTGAAGAGTCTTGAAATTACTAGAAAACTATTCTTCTCATCCTGTGTTGTACTGAGGCTGGGGTTGAGATGGCTTGTTGTTCTTTAATTCTTGGCCTTACTTTAATCTCTTTTAGCTGAACTTTCTTTGCAGAGGGCTCTGCCTCTAAAAATCCTCAGCTTAGACCAACCAGCATGGCTGGAGCTTGGAGCTGCTCACTGCAGAGCAGTTGAGAGCTCTCTAACAGTTGCAGCTACCTCTTATTTCAGGCAATTTTCTGGATGAAATACAGTGTGTTAGAGGACCTGCCTTCTTTGCCCTGGAGGTTGGTCCCCTTTTGTGGGCAAGTGCTTCCCTGTCCCCTTCAAGAAAGGGCTGACCAGGAGGTGTACCGAGCACCCATAAAACTGGGCTGAGACTGCTGCCTGCCCAGACTACAATTTTTCATCATTTCTCTGCAGCAATGCTTTTGTGCCAGGAGCTTTTAAAAACATTTTGTGACTAGTGTAAATCTGCCTGAAAACCTGGAGGATGCAGATGAGTTGGCAGGTCCCTTGGGAAGCTCTTTTAGGCATTAGGGCTTGAACAGACCCAGAGAAGGCGGATGCTGAGCGAGCCTGATGCAGCGGTGGTGTCGGCATGGAGCAAGTAGCCAAAAGCAGTAGCAGAGGATGCCAGGCAGAATCATTTATTCCAGAGAGAGTTAGGCACTCAAGAGGGAGGACACTTGCTGGGTACAAGCCTGAGAGAGCTCACAGTATTAAATGGACTGCGTGGCCTGCTTCCAGCGGGGTAGTGTGCTGGGCTCTGCTCAATCCGGGGCAGAAACCCCACTTTAGAGCCTCAGGGGGTGAAATAAAGGATGCATCATTGGATACACTTTTCAAGAAATGGAACAGTTCTCAGTTTTCAAGAAATGAAACAGTTCTCAGTGGTAAGGGCACAGCTCGCAGACCCCAGAATGCTCTGTTCAACCCACAGTGCTGCTGGAGAGGAAGGAGTGCGAGTAGGAAGCTTGAGTACTGTGTGCAAAGTATGGGGCACAAGAGGGGTTCAGGACAGCTCAGTTCCTCCCTGTGGTTTTTGGACTACCAGTTCCCTACTGGAAACCAGGGGCTGAAATAAACAGCAGGATGGCCATGAGCTTGGCCTTGGCCCTCCTGGCCAAGAAGGCTAATGGCATCCTGGGGTGTGTTAGAAGGGGAGTAGCTGGTAAGTAAGAGAGGTCCTCCTGCCCCTCTGCTCTGCCCTGGTGAGGCCACATCTGGAATCTTGTGTCCAGTTCTGGGCCCCTCAGCTCCAGAGAGACAGGGAACTGCTGGAGAGAGCCCAGCACAGCCACAGGGATGATGGAGGGATGGAACATCTCCCTGG